AAGGTAAACAATCCATGAGAATCAATTATACGATTTTATACAATATTTGAAGTCGTTGATAAGGACAATTTCCAATAACTTTTATTTAAAGTGTCAATTACAATTGTATTTTATGCAAAGGGTATTCAATCAATTATACGATTTTATACAATATTTGAAGTCGTTGATAAAAGACTCTTTTCAATATTATTCAAATGAACAATCATTTATAATTGTGGTCTATACAATAGATATTCAATTTATTTATCTAATTTTCTATTATATTCACGAAAAGTCAGTACCTTACTTTGGAGACTTAGGTATGCATTATGCATAAGGGAATTAAAACGGCGGATACAATCTCGACATCTAAATTCAAATCAGTGTCAGGAGAATGACTGCCTTGATGTTATTTAATCTAACAACTAGAACCAATTTTCAAGAACTCTGATCATTATTTACAACCAAAACATACACACACCATTTATGAATCACTTATAAAAATATCTTTTCATGTATGCGTCTTTAAACCAGACACTCTCTAAAAAAAACTAATGATCAAACAAAACAATAAAATCGCCACAAAATAAAGAACACAAAATAAATTATCTCACAACTCTTATATACAGTATAAACCACAAATATTCAACCAACAATATTAACTTCACAACATCTAATCAGATACAAATTAAACTAAAGCAATCAATATTTACATATATCCTCAAAAACAAAGCATCAACTTATATAATCTTGACCAGACAAAATAAACTCCATACAACTCAACCAATATCAATCAAGTATACAAAGTGTATCTTACCAAACAAATATAACTCAACAACCAAATATAATGCAACAACGAAAACAACTAATTACAACCAATGAGCCCTGATCAATAAAGATCACCACAATTAAATTCAACCAATTTCAACAAATTAACAAAACTCCCTTCAAAACAACAAATTCTTTTCTCATAAAAAAAAAAAAAAAATTTGCTACCCACCTCAAGCGCGTGCCTTTCCTAAACTGAATCTCTCCCAAAACTCGTATATTTGCTATTTCTCATTTACAGGTACAGAAGAGAGCAACTGATTTAAAAATAACTTTTCATTGAAACAGGATATTTACACTTCATCTAAAACAATGTATCACTGTAGGGGGACGTATTTACTTTAAAAATATATATCTACAGACAAACTGTATTATTATTTTGCTAGATCCTGGTTTTCATATTATATTCAAAATGTGATGTGCTCATGTAATGATAATTGTAAATGAGTATGAAAGCCCAAAGTTATGAAATTGTATTCATTGAAATATGCAAAACAGACCCTTCTGATAGATTAATTTCCATTTATTTTTCAGTTTTGTTTTAGAAGATACTTACATAAGATGAAATAAAGCAATATTACAAATTCGTCATAAAACATTTAAATATTCTTATAGGAAATATGGTATAAAAGATTCTACAGTCTACAGTTTGCTGAGATCTACATGACCATCGACTGACTCCGACTGTTTATATTCATCACATACTCTCCTTTCTCCGCCAGTAACTTGTATAATTAATACAGTGTCACTTTACAATGTTCAATAAATAAATTGAAGAATGATTATTAGTTTTTAAAAAAAATTATATTGAAGCAGTGCAAACGTATTGTGACTTGTATTTGAGTATGTATTCAATATAGACAATTTCTTGTAGCACCATCCCTTTCATTAGAAATTGTACCCTACATCAACAGCTATTTTTATAAAAAGGTTAGAACTTTTATAAGTAGTGAATAAATATTAGCAAATCGTGAGAGTAATAACACATTTATCTCACATCAATTTTATGTACCAGATACTAGTACCTACCTGTACTAAAGATTTTCTCCAGGCATTATATATCGGCATATCGAGTTGAATGTTTGAGGCGAAAGTTAATCTCAGTATTTATCAAAATCATATGATGGTTTGAAAAGATGGTAAATGTAAAAAAACATACGAGTATCTAAGGATACCAAGATTTTCGTTTGTTACAGGTCAAGTTAAATTGGTCTTTTCTTAAAAAACTGCCAGTTTCTTTAATGACATTATATATTCATATTGTAACCACCTATACTGTTTAGAATTTTAAATACAACATATCTACTTTGTGTGAAGTAAAAACATATTTATTTTATATTTACAAAAAGAGTTTGTAGCAATTATAAATATTTTCAAATATGAAATATATGAAATTTCAAAATATAGTATATCTTTAATGAAGGTCCATCCGTCCTTTCCGGTACAAAATGCAGCTTTTGCTGTCGAGTACGGACCCCGGACATGTCACCAGTCATGCCCTTAAAGAGTTAATTTTGAAGAACAAAGTGGTGATAATTTTACCTCCATGTGATTTCAAGTTTAAGCCAAAAAATATGAATTTTAAGCCAAAAGTAGGTCACTGAAAAGTGTTTGGCGGTTAAAGAGAACCTAAATGTACAGTAACCTGAGATAGTATGAAAGGGTAGCCCTGAAAAGAGCTGTCGGTGCCATCAAAAGGCCTGCCGTTCAAGCCGTCTAATCGTGCTAGGGGCTCACGCACCCTACCACGCACACAACTCTCGTCGACTACTTTGGGCCCCTAACCCCGGCTTTAGTCAGGACACCGGCAGTTAACTTCATGCAAGCTAAGTCGTGCCGCCTTAAACGTTACCCCGGGCTGTAGAAAACATGCGAACTTGCCGTCTTACACGTAGCATTGGTTCTTCAATAACCTGCCGATGCCCTGTGTCTTCTCGACGACGTACACGTACCGAGGGGAACGAATGAGCGATGAAGCAAAAGCAAATGGTTGGAATAACTATTCTGTTGTACATAAAGAGTCAGTAATACTATTAAACTGTGATATAAACATTACTGAACCATGGAAAAAAACAAACTTATTAAAAAAATATAGCTAGGTCTATGGACAATTAGGAGAAAGTTTGGCGACCAAATGAATCTAGAAAAGCAACATCTGAATATATACGTCATACAGTCAGTCTATGCAAGGAAATAATCGAGAAAAAAATATGCGGTCAAAGATAAGTGGGTAACTTATCAAATCAATGTTATAAGGTAATTGCAAGGATACCTTAAATTACCTGTTTATTGAAGAAAGAACTAATTTAAAAATTCTTAGAAGATGTTATGTGAAGTTCATAGACGTTTTGCGCAATTGAAAATTATTATTTCTGATGTGTATTATTCAAGGAATAATGACTTAAGTGTTATAGGTATGTTAAGAGAATTACATTTTATCCTAGGTTTTTGTACACCGGTATATAAATATACCCTTATTAAACAATTGTATCAGTATACATTATTATCATCATGGTTTAATTTTAAATACATTGAAAATTATAATGTCAAAAGGATACTTTTCATACTTGATTTGATCTAAAAAATGTAATTGTTAATATTTCTGCTTCTATGTTGTGAATATAGTTCAGTTCATTTAATCATTTTCAACGTTATATATGACAACAGCCATCTATCACGTTGCTTAAGAGTGTAAACAATAGAGTTCTTTATTTTTGCAATTTCAAACATTTTATTACAGTGAAAACTAATCGATTTGTCTTTGAATAAGGATACAGGTATTCATATACTATTTTACATTAAGTGCACTGCCGTATCATATTTCCACGTTTAGAACTGATACTAATGCATTTTCATATAAAATTGGTATTGCTGATATGAATTTAGAATGTTTAATGAATATTTGTATAACTTCGTTCTTCAGTGAAAGAAATTTCAAGTCTCACGCGCGATTCTGACGGAAGTACAGCTCACTGAATTACATGACCATCACCATTTCTGAAAAATAGTGTTCCATCGCACCTTTGTCATTTGTGTGGAATTGGGAAAACTTTTTCTATGAATGTCGAAAATTTCATGACTTGAGGCATAACCTGTTTAATACTGTTTCAAGTATAATATCCCATACGTTAGAAGAAATCAAATTAAATAAAGTAAATAAAACATTTTTTCGGCAGTTTATAGATATATCAAACATATTAAAAGGTTTGGAACATAATTCATGGAAAGTTGACATCGTCTTTTTACTCAGCAAACTCGTAATCCTTCTAAAACCATCCTATCTCATTAATATATTCTTTATACTTTTCTTTACAATTTTTTGTTATATAAATATAAACGTATTACAATGAACCGTTTGAATACAGTGTTATTTAAATTTAACTTTAAGATTACTCACTTTCGTGCTCAATTCTTTAACCATACACAGTTTTGTTTTAAATAGACGCCATCTTTTGGTTGTAAATAAAAAGACTTTTATAAGAATTGACATCGTCCGTTCTAATCAATTTTCTCAGTGTATATAGCTGAATCTATATGTTCTTGGATAGAATATGTTTAAACTAGTCTAATATCAACGTTCTTCCCTTATTGGTCTGCATCACTATATGAATATCGTAAACCTGCGTGTACACAGTTTGTCTTTTTGTGTCGATGTACAATCGACACAAAGGTATAACCACCCATCTACAGGCAAACAATCGCAATTCCAAACAATCGCAACTCTGCCTTTCCATTTCACGATATACGGTATTTTTGCTCCGCGCGCGCTAGCGCTAACCGAACTATTTCTTATTGCCAACCGAATTTCGTTGACAAAAAAAATAGTTCCGTATGTTCGGTTACAAGTTAGAAAATCCATTCATGCATTGAATATAGAAGGGGTTGTCATACATTTATAATTGTATTAAAGTATTGAAAATTAAAATTACAATTTAGTTTAAATTTGTACTGTACGCAGAAATTATATAAATGCGCGAGTGAATCACGTGATTGGCTTTTCAACGACGCCATTTTAATTCAAGCAGATTGAAATACAGTTTCGACTTCGTTATTTGACACAAATATCAGGTTATTTTGAAGAAATTGTAAGTTTCGGATACTCATACAGCGATTTTGACTAATAAACAAAATAAATTGTCCCAGAATGAGCAAAGCGTGCGAAGCCGTCGTTAATAAATTTTATAAACCAGTCCATGAGCTAAAAATAGCACAGCTGGGAAACCCAAGTTATGACCTCGGATTAAATTACGGTCTTGTAAACAATTTCAGAGATTTGTGAGTAGATTATTCGAATTTGCGGATAATTTTTTGACAGTTTTACTTCAATTTTTATACGTGCATGCACGCACCTAGTTGTAATTTCATGCGTGATTTTTGTAAATTATACGGAAATTCACATTTGTGCGTGAATGGGAACGCTGACTTTCATTTAGCTAGCCTAATTAATTTGGCGTGAACGGTTTGACCCATTTTACAGATTTTTTTTTCTTACTGTCAAACCGTTACGCCTAATTTTAACTGTCATTTTTACGCACGGAAAATCTACCGGCAACACTATCGATAGTTTGGACTGATTTTTACTGCTTAAACCTGAAAGTAACTTCAATGTCCTCTAAAAATCAATAGAATATAAATTCTAGTACTAACTTCTCCTAGAAAAAATATTAGATTGTACCTGTCTTAACGCATACATGCGATTTATTTCAAATTTGTACTGTATACACTATCTCCGGCGGATATGTTATAACGTCATCGTAAAAAATAGATTCCGTGAAAGCTCGTAGTAGCAACCAGTGTGTCTAGCAGGTAAGTGTGGGTTACGCATGAAGATTAAAACTTCAAAAAAATATCGGGGAAATAAATATATTCATTATTTTTAAATAAATTTGTGCATTATTAAATACTATTGAAAAGTATTAATGTGTTAAACCTAAAATACAATGGTAGCAAATAGGCTCCGTACAAGTACTGTTGTTTAATATTTTTTAAATGTTTTAATACATGTACTCAACATTTATCAATGGATGGTTTGCCTTCTTGTTTACTGCTAATGACTGCCGATAAAATACTGACTTCATTTATACATGCATATTTAAATGACAATTAAGAATGTAAAAGAAATAAAGGAATTCTTTTTCACCTATTGCTGATATATATTATAATACCATATTAAACCTACTGATAAATTTAAATGTCTTCTTGACATACTTTATTAATTTACTAAAAAAGGAACTTTATTGTGATCCAGCCATATGCTGTGTAACTATAAGGGAAGGGTCACATATTTTAATTGAAATAAATTTTAAGTAGAGGATATTAAAAAAAAGTCATTGAGAAGATAAGAATTTTCAAATGAACAGATTAAGAGACTTATACATGTATAAGGTGTATGTCTTGTTGTTTCATACTGTTTTGGTGACACTTTTGTTTGTGTCCCTTGTTGTTTTCTCGTCTATGGTAAGTATCTTCCCTTTGCCCCTAGTTTTATTTCTTTATTCCGCCCCCTCCCCCTTCCCCGAATTTCCTATCCCCTACCACTGTGCCAGTTTACTTAATGGTCCTATTAATCATTCATTTATTTTCTTTGATTTTGATTTCCTTGTATGTTACCATTATTTCTTTATATTTATCATTTTGTATCATTTTAGTGATAAGCCAGACCGTGCTCTCTCTTGCGCCGTCCTGTTTTTGTTAAGGATCCTCCTGGGTTCCTTGCAAATGGTTCTTGTTCCTGGGTCGTGCGGGGGTTGCGTTCATTGAACGCAGGCCTTTCCTTGTTCATCTTATTTATCATAATTTATACTTGTATACCGAACCGAACCATAACAAACAGATAATGATTATCAATACAAGGTTCGACAAGCAAGCAAAGAAATGTAAAGAAAACAGAAAAAACGTATCCACATATCCGCCCTCCAAAAAAAAACACACCAAAAAACACCTGAAACTGCAAAACCGAAACGTAAATACACATGGGTGCCAAAGACGGCTCTGGTAGGTACATGTGCTCCCTTGCGCCGGTTTCAACAGAATTCATCACTTAAACATAATAATGTAGACATTTTAATCAACACCCACAGATGTGTACAAAATACGGCGGTAATCATGGAACTTTCAATGCAACACATTCGAGGTGCCGTTCAATGAAAAGCGGGAACTAGATAATATGGAATTTTAAATGGATATAGGTTTTGGTGTCATTTTGCGACAGTCGTTCTAACAGACGACTACAGTAATCTAATCAGACTATTTCTCCCATCTGTCTTACATTGTTATGCTATTCTACGTCTTAAATAAGGGTCACTAAATTTCCGCTTGCTGCGTTTTTATCATAAACCCCGTCATATCTGTTCGACAATTGCATTTTACTGAGGACTGTCTGAAATTCCATTTTATAGTTTGAAATTTTAAGATTTTTTTCTCAGAATTTAAAGTTATTTTTGGTTGTTTTGAACTTCTTCCCCTACACAACTGTCCTCAATTTTTTTAAAGATAATAAACTAGAAATTGATAGGGAGTTTAATATAAATTGAAATTCTTCTTTGCTTCATCATGTATAGTATACTTATAATTCATTAAGATGTACCTACAATTACATTGTATTTTCATATGTGCGAAATCATGGCAGGGTTATAAAATAAAAAGGCAGTTCAGAAATTTCACCTAATGATCACAGATGTTAAAAAATCCGACATTACAATTTCTAATTTGACAATTTAAATGGACTTTTAAAATGCAGTATGATCTGACGTCGGACATCTAAGTAAGGTTATCAGAATATCCTTTTCACATTTTATTTTTAATGCTGAAATATTCTTGTGTGAAAAAAAAGTTATTCCTGCATAATTCATAATAAATAACTTAAACAAATTATATTATAAAGCTTGACAAATACAATCGATTGCCGCCGATACCTGTGTTACACCATGGAAAGTTTACAATTTTACCCTGTTTTACCCTGTCACCGCTTGCGTCATTTTCCAATATGGCCGCTTACAATAATTTTCAACGATTTAAAAAGTTAAAGTGGAATATTTAGACTTGTGTTCGACTTTAAAGTATGATACCTTGCATAAAAACGATTCTCTTTCAGGTAATGTAGACCGTTTCTTTGAAACTTTTTTAGTTTTCGCTCCCAACAACTTCTAATTGGGAAGCGTCCGTGCATAAAAATGCAGTTCGTGGATGGACTTGGAAAAAGACAGCGCCCGTCCAAAATTATCTCGGTGTCTCTTTGACAAGTCTAATTAGTTTGACTATCATTTAGCTAAAGATACTTCAGCGAACAGGTTTAATAGTATTGCTAGACCTGTTCTTTACTGTCGCAACGTCAAAATAAAAGCGACATATAAAGTTATGGAAGCCAGAACTAACTTTCATTTAGTTTTTTTACCATCTGATTCATTTTTATAAAAATATCTAAAAAGGTCTATTTATGTATGTGATGTAGATCTATATATATCATGTCTAATCATTTTTTTATTGTAGTTGTTTTATCTTTGTTGATCTTATACATTATGTTATATACAGTCGGTTGTAAAAGCTCCTAGTGCTTATGTTGTACTGTTGAAACTTGCCGATTTGAAATAAAACTTATCTTATCAATGTGTACGAAGAGGTATAAGATAAGTGTCCACTCGGCCCTAAACCAACTCGGTCCGCAAAAAAAAAAAGAAATCACTTTAGATTGTTTAGTTGATGAACATCCAGCGGTAGATCACATATACTAAAAATAATTGAAAAGGTCTGTATGTTTTATTATCTTTGTTAAGATGAGATGTTGTGATTAATACAACAGGGTCAGGGACCATCAACCGCTGACACTTTTTGAACATTTTTCTGTACAGGTTTCATAAGTTTTAACCTAGAGACCAAAAAAATTGACAAGGTTCAGCTAGGTTCTTCCCCTAACTAACAAACTTGTTTGTCTGATTGTATTGACACTTATATCTGAGGCTCGACAAGGAGGTATCAAAATTACCTCAATTGTCTACACTACAGTACCATGTATCCGGACATTTATGTACATGACGTTATTTAATTCAGATAACAGCTTGGGTGTTTTAATTTTTAACATGATAGACAATGATTCAGAAACAAATGCTGAAGTTTTGGAAATTCTATTGTTTACTCTGCAAATGATTATAGATGGTATATGAGGTCAGGCATTGTTTTCTTGACCCCCCAAATTTCAACGTCAACATTCTTGAAATAGCCATTAAAATATTACCATTTACGGTGGTTGAAATAAATTTATTTATTTATTTTTAGAAGAAACATGCATTTATTGTTGATAAAAAAGTGACAACCACTGAACAAAGAAAATACTAAATTAAGCATTTTCAGGGCCGTCCGGGTTTGGTGGTTGTCCGGTTTTGGTGGTCCCCAACCAGTAGCCTAAACATTTATGAACTGTAAATTCTTCCCTCACACACTTTCATCAATAACAATTTCAATTAGAAAAGGTATATAAATTATGACAACGTAAACGTAAAACAATGAAAGGTATGAACACATGAAACAAAGATAATTCAACATAGAGCAATAAAACTAGTTCCCCTGAGGAATACCGTACGCCGGTAAGGCCCCCACGGTTACACTTTTAAACGGATTTGTTTCGATTTTCATTCATAAACGGTTATGATATTTTTTACCGTTTATTCGAGATGACCATATTGTCTTACAAATTATCTTAATAATTTCCTGTAATCATGGATTTTATCTATACTAATTGGTTTATTAAAGTAAAAATGGAAAATGGGTGTTTACAACCCGGACCACACACCATCACCATGCAATAATCGCTTGTGACATAATTCATTTTTGTTAAAGTTGATTTTTCTTTGATTTTTTAAATAATGAAATGCGGATACAATGCAGAAAATGTGTGCCGTCTAAATCGTGATGAGCACTGAACATTATTTACTTGTATAGAAAGTAAGTCATCATTTGGCGACTCGAATACATGGTATAGTATAGTGCATATAAGTACCACCGTTTAAACGGTATCGATTCGGTTCTTAGCAATCATGTAAAGGTTTACAAAAAATTGTAAACGTGGAAGCCTTTACCGCCGGATATTGCTCGATATTACGAGGACTTTCATCCCATTTCAAGACTATGAACAAAGGTAAATTCAAGGTAAACGTTCAATCTCACAACAATAAAATTTCAGATGACAGTGCATTTTGAGAATAAATAAACATGTAAGTTTACCGAGTATTGCTTTGGAGTTGCTCGCCAGTGTCACTAGTATGCTTTTTAATGTAACGAGTCTTGGTTATTAATATCAAGTAATTGTGAGAAGTAATCACAGAGTATTTACCACATTTAACCTTAAATATTTCTTATTGTCACAATGTGTATACTTATTGACATATGTGCAGAATATGCAGATTTTGGAGGTACTGTACTGAATAATACATACCCAGCAAACATGCATATATGGGACCCATATGGGCTATATCTAGGCAAGCTAATGGGTATGCCCATATTGGACCTATATGGATCCAATATTGGCAAGTACATTTGGGTACGCCTATATATTAGACCCATATGGGTACCATATTCCAGCACTTTAAGGAAAAACGATTTTTCTTTTATTTATTTCTTTAGAACTCGTTTACTTTGAGCTATAGTGTGACCACCTTGGCATAATTTATTAAATTGCTATTATCTTATATAAAATCGTAGCATAATTTTAAACATTTATACAAGCCATGAGGGACCCATATGGGTCTCATTTGGGCAACCCGATAAATATTAGCATGCCTGAGCAGGTGCGAGAAATTAATTTGTTAAGTTTTTATATTGGTTTTAATTTTTATTATTTAAATATAAAAATGTGTTTTTAGACTATAAATTCAGAAATAATTTATAAAAATCAGTTTTTGATGGAAAAAATTTATTTCGAGCATGTGCAAACGTGATTTCTGCTGCCGCTTAAAATCAAATTGTGTATTGAAATCAGAAATGTTAAATTGTAAAATTGTACACGAAAAAAATATTTCTTTTCGATTCCGAGCATTTAACCACAATTTCGTATAACGACTTCGATTTCGTATAACGACTTTTCATATTATATCCTTACATGCTTATTGTGTGTGTAGGTAAGCTGTAAACGCTGTTTAGTTTTTGGTTTTGCCTTTGCCATGTAATTTCCCAATAGTCGTTTAATTTGCGACATTTTCTAGAATTTACGCCCTGACTCTTAGGCACTTTAGCTGACCTATGCATGTGTGTAGTTGTTATTGTTGAATTACTTAACTGTGACGGAGTCGACACTAACATTTAAAAAATATTGTTTCTATCTAGACTAAATTTTAAGAGATCTTTTTTTAAAGGGACACCATCATTTGAAATCCAGTGTCCCCCCTAGCCTTAGAAGTCCCTTCCATTTTGTACCAACATTTCATTCATAAGCATTTTAAAATATTAAATACAAATACTTATTTTTACAAATTCAAGTATTTTTTCCAAGTACAAACCAAGCCCTCTAGCTGTTGCACAGGCATTAGTATCGGACCTGAGAAGAAAAAATATGACCTGATAGATAATTAAACCTGTGTTCATCTTAAAAAATTCGAAAACCAAAAAAAATGTAAATTATGACCCCCTTTAAAAACATACTATAAGTTAAGAGAAGGCCGGAAACTCTAGATTCGAGCCTACGAGCAAGGGATTCACTACCCGGGCCGTTGTGAAAACAATTGTCCAGACAATTAAAAAATCTTTTATCATTATTTCACATTTGTATTAAGCTTCCAAATGAGACCAACTCCAAGTCTCTAGCCCTTCCTGTTCATGAAATAATCCTATCAGGAAACGAGCGCATTCGTGCTAAAAATCCTTGGTAGAAAAAATTGCGGCACAACAATTTGGTACGTAAACATACACTAATACATGTTTGTCAGCCGTGTACAGGTCATAATCATATTGTTACTTGGTGCAATAACTCACTTAATGTATATGTATTTTTTAACTACTTAGTAATGTATTTTCATTTTATTGTCAATAGGCCATCAAAAAGGCTGTATGAATCGGATAGTGACACTGATGAGAATGAGACAGACACCGAGAGTAGGCCATCACAACTTATTGACAAAGCAACAACGCCCAAACAGGCACGAAGCCTACTTTCACCTCCGCCTTGCTTATCTGCACAGGCATTGCGAGAGGCCGGCAGTGCTTCTCTAATACAAGGTGCTTCTGATACGCCCTCCCGTGGGCAGATTATTGGGCCCAGTAAGTATAAACTTCGGAGCTGTAAATATATTCATTACAGTACATACTTATTAAATGTTCTATACTCAATACAAGCCAATAAATGTTGTAACAAGCTGGATTGAGTGACACAGCCTAAAATGGAAAGTTTCACCTTATGACGCCCCTAGTTAAAAAAAATTCAAAAGAAATTGATGATTACTTGTGTTAGTCTTTATCATGATGTGAATTAATGTTCGCCTATTCTTGTCTGACCCCACAACTGTTATCCAAAGTTACGGTCCTTGGAATAGTCAAAAATGTTTATTTTCACCCCATGACATGCCTAGCTCAAAAATATTTTAAGTTAAAGCCAAGGAAAAATTTAAAATACTGGATTTTTTTCATTTGTAATTCACATAGCTCTAAAAGTATAAAGCCTAGAATTATGAATCCTTTTTTGCAGCTGCTGTTACACAGATTCTCTGAGTCTTGGAGACAATGCAGGAGGAGAATCGTGACATTAAGAGGATGATGTAGCAATTGTTGTCAAGGTCAGCAGCAGATGACTAACCGCTGCAGCTTCCTGAAGATATCTCATTCCCTATTCGTTCTCCTTAGCAGATGGAAACATTCGATGAGCTTCTGGGAGATCAGACAAAGCTGTCATCTGTGGTAAGCATAGTGTTAGTCATGTAATTTTTGCACCATTAGTAACTGAAAAAAGTATACCTCATATCCACTGGCTTAAATGCGAAATAACATAATGGTCTGTGGTTAGCACTTGATGATAATGTATTATCATTCTGCTATACTTATGTAGGAAAATATTGCACAGTGGACAAACACTTTACTGCATTAATTTCGGAATTTAAAACTGGCTTGTTTTAATTTTTTGATTCATATTGAAACAGTTATCTTATTATTTAGATATGCTATAATAGCCATGAGCACAAGACATGGGCAGTTTGCCTCGTTTTTTTAACATTGATTATTAAGACAAGACAGTCGATTCATTAATCAAAATGCTGGCAGCTTTTAAAATACCAGGAAAATGACTAGTACCCACAAAATCCAGGAATTGCGCTGTTATAATAATATCAAAAATTATTCTGTTCATACTGTATAAACTTGTGTTAAAAAAACAACAATGATAATGTGCCCCATTACACTCGGTGGAGGGGACAAACAAAAAGGCACAAGTCACTTAGGCTGTAAATATATCAGGAAAGGTCTTTTAATTTGTCAATTCAAACATTTTTCTTGGCAGATCATGTATTTGAGGTCCAGTTGACAATTATTTGTTATTTGTTGGTGACTTGCAGCGCATCACAAATTTTGAAAATTAGTAGTGTTAAAATTAAAATTAAAAAAAGTTTATGATCTGCTTTATTTAAGGTGCGGTTCCTCTCAATGTTTGGTGGGGCAGTTGTGCAGGAAACTGTTGACCGCTAGATGATAGAAACCATGTCAAATGAACTGGCAAGAATGTTCAATATGAAGGGGCTGAAAGGGAAGAAAACATTTGGGGGCCTCTAGATACTGAATGTATTGTATAGTAAGTGATATATTACGAATTTGCAAAGTGGTGTCTTTAAGTAGGCTTCAAAATAGATATATTATCCAAGATCTTGTTATTGTGTCTTCAGGTATCGCTTTAATGAATGAAAATGCTTGAATAGCTTTTATGGAAATTAATAAGAGAGAATATTTTACATGCTGTGTGGTTTTGATCCCATGCATTGTGTTGTGATGCATAATATAAGCAGAAATCACCTTCCTGTAAAGCAAGTTATTTGCTTACCTTAACATTCTTTACTGATACACCGATAAGATGATCTCAGCTTACAACTGACTGCAGCGATATCACAGAAATATTGTTAAAAGCTATGTAAAACCGGGACACAAACATCTATATTTGTTAAAACATACTAGAATTAGTTTATATTCCAATTTTATGCTCAAAATGCTACAAGGTGACTTATGACCTTTGAATGGTTTCAATACCTACATTTCACTGCATTTCATTTCATTCATTAAGGATAAGGATGCTTGTTTTATAGAATGTGTCCAAAGGAACTTGCCGGCAAAGACTGCGACGAGGAAGGATATTGAAATAAAGGTTTCAAAGTGGCTGGCTGGGGCGTGGGACCGCGATGGGGGAAGGAAAGCAAGAAACAAATTGTCCGAGACCTTACCTTAAGCAAATGAAGGAAGTGACTAGACATGTTTTTATTTTTAAAAAATGCAAATCTATAGAGGATACATGTATTTGTTTGTTAGTGTGTAAGATGAAATTTTATATCATCAAGTGAGCTGTAAAAACATTATTCTCACAAGTGAGAACACTGTTATTTAAAAGTCCCTCAATGATATAAAATTACATCTTACACAACAAATAATAAAGTGTCTTTTTATTTTATGCTAATGAAACTTCCTCAATATTAACTTTAATAATTATTAAATCTGTTTTCCCCACTGTTAACATCAATTTTAGTTGAATTTAAGTCCAATTATTCATAAATAAAGGAGTCTTGGGCTGAACAAAAAGTTTGACAATCAACGTTGAATGGCAATGATTTTATTTATTTTATTAAAAAAATATGAATAATCGCTTTTTTTAATAATAAAAACAACCAATTCTAGAAGAAAAAGTCACACCATCCCACCTTATTTCTGTTACTCAGGCAATATATGTATGACCTGGCTTTGTGAAATGTAAGTGGCGGCCATTTTTAAAAGTTGTGTATTTTAAGGAAAATTAATTTTGTTTTATTCAGAGGAATATTATTTGGATAGGTTAGTCTTGAAACAGTCCTGAGAATGTCAGAATTGTCAGCAAAAATGATATTATTAAGGTACCACATGGGGAAAATCTTTAAAAAGTAGTCTTGTCATTGAAAAGTTTGAAATTTGGATCATTTTCACTGTAAATTTATCAAATATAATTTTCACGGATACATCAGTAGTACACACAAAAGCTTGAAATGAATGACTTTTATTTTACATTTTCGAACCTTTTCTTCATCGGCATATAAGTTATTCCAATGATTGAAAGTCAATAGATATCAAAGTATTTTAAAATGTGATAAGGGTCAGAACTACAGTAAGTGGCTCATTTGTGTATCTTGTTATACTTTTTGTTGCTAATTTTAATGTTTGAGGTCATCAGCATAGCATGTCTTTCTTGTAAATACAAAATTCTTTGCCTTCTAGTCAGTTTATTTTGCTGCTATGTAATGTTTGTTGTTGACATTATATGCTGTTTTTCTGTTGTCTATATGCTGTTGTTATTTTTTTTCATTAAACATTGTTGCTATTTAAATCAAGACATAAAATGCTTGGGGAATGTTTTTGATACTGATCAATACAATTATAACATCTTGTCCAAACTTAACACTAACAGGGAACACATATATAGATATGGTATTAACCTTTTAAATCAAGTTGAAATACTGTACAATGATGCTTCTTGTAATCTTTATTTTTGTTATTGTTGAAACTTTGATAATATCGGATAAATTACTGAAACAACTATTTTTACTGACAATTTTTTAAATGAACTTCTTCACAACAAATTTGATCTCGTTAAATCAGTATTATTTCACATTTTTAAAGGAATATATCCATAATTAATTACTGTTCTGTGATATATAGGATAATTGTTAATTTCGGTGTAATATCACATTTTAATTATTATTAATTTCACAGAGTGGATACCTAAAGTGTTGTTATCCAGAAGTAAACTTGTCATGATACTTACATTGATACAGTATACATGTATGTGTTTACTTTATGTCTAAAACTCCACTAATGTTTGGTTCCTTTCAAAAAAAGGTTGAAATATGCGTAAAAACTTTTTATCAGGAAGCATCGCATGTGAAGTCATTTTATTGTCGTTGTTGTCATATTTTTTTTCCGAAATTCAGTATACTTGGTTAACTTTTTTGATATTTATATAGTTATCAAATTCGATAACTTTTTTCACAAAGTGGCTAGTGAGTCAGGATATAATTCAACGTTAACTTCCATAAACCATTGAAAATTGATAAAAGATTAATGAAATTCTTATTGAGAATGATATAAGCACATAGAAAACTGATCCAAACAGTAACGTTTCACAAAAGGTTACTATAACTATTGATATTAACAATTGAAATGCATTAAAATGTAAATACTTTTGTTATTTCTTGCCTTTATTGTGGATTTTGTTGATGAAGATATGAGAAATGAAGCTGGTTATTTTTACAAACTTGTACAAACTATTTATTACTTTTCATCAGCTGCATATTTTTTTACACGTCTATAAACAGTATTTCTATGTGCCAATGTTTTGTTATTATATTTGTTCATCAGCTGTATATTTTGTTTACACATCTATGAACAGTATTACAACTGTGCCAAGGTTTTGTTTTTAAATTATTATATTTGTTACATTTCACAAGCTGTATAATATTTTTTTCTTCAGCACTATCATACCAAAGTGTAATATATGGTTGTAATGAACAACTTTTTATATTTATTCATGTAGATCTATTTCATTTGTCCAATACAAAGATATCTGAAAATTTAAATATCATATAAAACATAGATACTATTTCATTTGAAAATGAAAGTAATTGGTAGATAGAAATTTGTAATGAATTACAATAAATGTATAATACTTTCCTATGAATTATGTAGAAATTTAAAAAGACATGGGAGTAGGTTTGCAGTTGTGTCTTTGAGAATCTGTATATATATGATACACTCTTACCATAATTGAGATTACTAAATAAAGTTAACATTGTTAAAGCATATACATTGTGTGTTGTTTTCTTGCAGGATAATAAAGGCTTTGTGCCATAATCTGTCTGTTCCAGTTAAAACATCACTTGAATATTTAATGCAAGTACAAGAATTATGACAGTTGCAACTTAACGTCCAGCAAACTTATAATTGAAGTACTTGAAAATAGATCTATCCCGGAATTCAAAATCTACCCATAATGGAAGTATCTGGGCTGCCCATTTGAAACCCATATTTAGTACAAGGACTGCCCATATGGGGCCCATATTGAGTACATGGGCCGCCCAGGTGGGGCCATGTGATTCCATATGGAGTATAAGGGCTGCCCAAGTCTCAAATTTTGATAAGATTAAAATACAGGGCAGCATTGCTGCAAATGCAATAAAAAGGTTATGATACAGGGCAAGTGTTCATTAAGAAAATACCGGTATACTTAACCGGCATTAACTTTGGGCCAATATTTTAATAAGTGTGCCTATATATCTTTCATAAGGCACACTTTTGCTGTAAAAACCTATAATTTTTGTCATCTAGATCTGTTTTTCTTTTTTTTAGAGATAGGTCTAATAGAACTAAAATATTTGAATAAATTTCAAACTGTACATTATCTGCAACGAAAATAAATGGCGTAATCAATAAACAGACTCAGGCTGTGAAAGGTTATATATTTCACAACACAATCGACACTCCAGTACTTTCAGTGCTTTGATTTTAAAATAGGATATATTGCGCAGAATGTTTGAATAATATAAAGCCTAGACTTTACATCTGGAAAAGTTATGATGTAAAATAACTATTTTGTATTATAAAAGTTAAAAGTATATTTTAGCATTATATACGAGTTTTACACGACAACAAGTACAAAAAGAGCACCTCGTCGAAAGGATCCTTATAAATATTGCCCGCTCGGCATTACTGTTAAGTTATAACTTATCAATAAATAAAATTACAAAGAAATGAAAAAATATATTCAAAAGTACTATCAATAGTAAGGGTGAGTTGTTTTTCCGATATAAATATCTAAACATAATATGTGATGTTGTTTTTCGTAAATAACACACAAGATAATACCATATTGTTTTCAGTCAGTTTTAGGTAATACAATTACATTTTATATGAAACGTGTTTCACGTCTATCGCCACCCAAAGATCAACATTTGATTTTGAATTAAGCCGTTCACTAAAATACGCACTAATTATCTTAAAATCCCTTTCTTTAAAGTTATAAACGATCACTCTGTAAATAGAATGACGTTTTTTACCACTTAAGCCGCAAATCAATCTATTAATAACAAGCAATTATCATAGTATTTCAAAAAATCCATAAGTCCCCTACCGGTTAGAACCACATCAAAATTCTGAAGGGCCATTCACTAATGTTTCAATTTTTCTCTATTTTAAGAAAATTTGTTGGAAAAGTTCTTTAAATGTGATCACAGGAAACAGTTTTTATGAACAAACAGACAGACGGACTGAAGGACACTCTAAAGTTAATATTTGAAACATCCCTGTTACCAAAATATAACATTTTAAAAGCAAAATTCTTAAACAGGAGATAACATAAAAATTTTCAGCTCTTTTTGACTAATCACAAATATTGTTATATTTGCCATGTTTTAAGCCTATTTGTTGCCAAGGCAACAGATATTTTTTCAAAAAAGGAAGAACAGATAAGACATGCATAATCTCAAGACTGCCATCTACCCACATGTCAAGTTTCATAAAAATATTTCCAGTACTTTTTGAGTTATCACTGGATTCAGTTCATGTGTAAATTTTGCCATATTTTCAGTCTATGTGTTGCCATAGCAACCAGAATTTTCAACATAGTTAGAAAAGAAAAAGACGTGCATAATCTCAAGACTGCCATCTACCCATATGTCAAGTTTCATAAAAATATTTCCAGTACTTTTTGCGTTATCACTGGATCCAGTTTATGTGTAAAATTTGCCATATTTTCAGCCTATTTGTTGCCATAGCAACCAGAATTTTCAACATATGAAGAAGAAAAAGACGTGCATAATCTCAAGACTGCCATCTACCCATTTGTCAAATTTCATAAAAAATATTTCCAGTACTTTTTGCGTTGTCACTGGATCCAGTTTATGTGTAAAATTTGCCATATTTTCAGCCTATTTGTTGCCATAGCAACCATAATTTTCAACATAGGAAGAAAAGATAAAGACGTGCATAATCTCCATTCTGCCATCTATCCATATACCAAGTTTCATAAAAATATTTTTAGTACTTTTCAAGTATCGCGGGATCCAGTTTTGTGGACGGACGGACTGACGGACTGACATATGGACGGACAGACGGACGGAGGGTAAACCTTAAGTCCCCTCCGGTAAACTGGTAGGGGACTAAAAAGCCAAGAATTCCATAATGATATATGTCTTGAATAATAACATGCAAAGTGAGAAGTTTCTTTCTCTCTTTTTGAAAGACATTGACGCAAGACAATGTTATGCTGTCATTTCTTCGTAACACGTATTTATATAATTCATACTTTAATTAAAAATATATAGATAGTTTCACGTATTCATATAGTTTATACTTTAATAGAAATAAGTAAAACGTTACGACAAAATATCATTGAAGTTTTAAAATGATATGAGAAATTATGATAAAAGCTTTTTTGTTTCATTTATAAAACATAATTATTTTTATGTGTATTTGTTAAAAGCATACTTATATTCATAATTGCGACTCCACGAGTGACTTTTGAAGATTTTTGAACTGATTAGTCGGGATTTTATACGTTCGATAATTAGTAGATACATACTGTGAGAACCTTCCCTAAATCGAGGGCTTGATGCTAAAGGATTGTAACTCATATTAAACAAAGAAGGAGTAACAACCCATTCACGCCAAGCTGTCGAAACGATCAAAGATTTTATCAAATATAAATGATTGACATATCTAATATAAATGATTAACTTATCTAACCTAAATATCTTTGAAAGGGTAAATAAAATTTAACTGACCAGGTTCAATAACCAATAAGTCAAGAAACATAGTTATATTAATTTAATAAAATACGATGCTATCAGTTTAACTACATATTAACAGAAAATTATATTTCTTCTAACAACACTAATTGTACTTATAAAACATTGCCCTCAACTAAATTCATTTAACAAATCTATCTTTGACCTCTGTCACTTGCGCAAGCGTAAGGTTGAAAAAACTGATACACGTATAGTATTAGCACCTACAGGTTTTCAATTATTATTTATTCATTTCATGATCTGTAAACAGTTAAATTATATTTGTATCTCCTTTATAAAAGTATCATTGCTATATATTAAGAAATGTATTTGAAGTTTCAAAATGTGCTGTGTGGTGTATATGTTTAATTTGCAAATGTTATATGTATAAGGCAATTTAGAGCAGACATAATCAGGTAGGAGAGTATCGTCTAGAGCACACACACACACACACACACACACACACGCTTGCAGGCACGCACGCGCGCGCACGCGCGCACACGAAACAAAAGCAACAGCAACAATATATTGACAAAATATTGAAAGGACGTGGGGTAATCATCTTAGTTTGATCAAATTTAAAGTCAAACATATTCCTTGAACGTTTCTGAACCTTTCAGTTTTATTGGTGGAGAAAGACAGCAAGAGTAATTTACGATAAAAATTGAGTCTACGTTATAAACTGTTCATAATTTAAACGCTACAGTGAGTTGGTTAAACAATCTTTATGATTTGCGTTCCATTGGAGACAGAAATATTGAAACAATTTCTCCATTAGTACGCTTTTAAGTTAGAATGACACTAATTTATATTATAAGATTACTATCAAATTATACTTTATAATATTTGTTTGATGAACGTCAAAACACATGACTAAATTTGCAATAAAAAGTTAAAATGAATTAAATTGATTTAAAAGGTTTGAGTCATGCGTCATTATAGGGTCTTAAAATAATTGTGTATAAAACGAGTCGTATGATTTGTTAATAATTAGAAATTTAATTAACGTCTTGTTCCATTGGTTAATTTGGTTTTTAGACTTTTATAAGTTTACTTGTATATAATTTTAGTTATAAGACGCCCATCAATCCTGACAGCGGACTTTCAATATTTTCAAAATGAAACGCATGTATGAATTATTATATTTAACATGATGGATTTTAGCAAATGAATAGCTTCATCAAAGAATGTTAATTTATTATCAAAAAGTGTTTAACTGATGTATAAATAGACAATGACTTTTTTATTGACAAGAAAAGAGCATTGAGAAATGGACGAAATTGCCATAATAGGCGTCGGATGCCGGTTTCCCGGGGCAGACAATCTTAAAGAGTTTTGGAGAGTACTTTACATGGGTGAAAATCACGTAAAGGAGATACCACGTGAAAGATGGAATAATGATGCGTTTTATGATCCAGATCCGAGTGTCTCCGGTAAAACTTACGTTCGACAGGCGGGTTTTGTCAGCGAGTACGTATCACGTGTTTTCTTTTATTAATACAATAATGTTTTATTATTATCATATGTGCACACAGCAAATGAATAATCTTAATGCAAATTTTGTTTTCACTTGTAAGTTGATGACTCCTCAAGAAAAAGGATACTTAGTAGATGTTATTCCTTTACATATTGAATTAACCATTCAAAACCAGTAGCAAATAATTATATAACCTTTAGGTTGGTACAACCTCCAATTCTATATTTAAATGTTCATTTTGTTAAATGTATGTCAAAACTGTATAATGATTTTATATTGATCTCATAACACTCTCACCGGAAAATTGCTGCAACATTTTTATTCAAAATTTGATTTGAATTACAACCTAGTCTGTGAGTTTAATAATTAACAGATAATATTGCCTGTGAATTTATCATACTGAAGTCCCTTTGCTTTCATTAATTTATACGCTTTAATAGAGGATGAATTCCGTTTCTTATTCGTATGTACAGAATGTATGGTGGATGTTTTCTGCCATTTCGTGTCAATTCATCGAGCCTTCGTGTCGTCGTGCCTTTGCCCCGAAAAATGGATATCACGAAAAATTGTTAAATTATCTTGTCTTCGCTTTTCGCCTTTGCGATACCCGCTGACACGATAATTCTGCAGAAGAAGATCTCGTGCCGTCGCCTTTTTAAATATTGTTTTTATTTGCCGAAAATGTATTGTGTCTTCGTGTCGGCGCTCTCCAAAGTCGTGTCTTCGCCTTCTACATTTGAAGCCCGGAGACACTAAATGACAGAAATCAGCCAACATACTGCGCTTAAGCTCAAATGATTAGCTTTTAAACGTAGGTCTGTCAATCCGACACAGTCGTCCATCATCCACCGTCAAATCAAAGAAAAACATTATAACCACTATTATAATGATGTCAAGAAAAACATTGGTTTCAGCTTAGAGGTCACATTTTCGATTTGATCTTCATCAAAACTTTGTAAGAAAAGTTTATGGAAAAAATATCATGGATGAGTTTGGAGATTGATCATCTTGCGTTTAAAACTTGGTTAAGAGGTCATTCAAAGATAAACTATGTTTACGTTTTTTATTTGACTTTCAGAAGAATAATCCCTATTATACCACAAATAAGATTGAATGTGCCATCTTGTGTCATCAATTCTAATAAAAAAATATTCTCCAGAGCACACATTTTTTATTTCATCAAATTGCCACATTATCGATATAACGGAAAACTAAGATGGGTCGTCTTGGTGTTTGTTTGAATGTTTATCATGATAATACCAGATAGGTTTAAAGAAGGGCCATCATACATTGAAAGATAGGTCACCAGATTAAACAAGTAAAATGGTTTCCTGCGGTGAACGTTTTAGTTAGTTGACAATTGAATAAACGATCACTATAGAAGAAGTTCTTTGGAAACTGGTGACCGTTGAAGACAGGAGAAGGTCGAACATAAAACAATTGTTTCTTTTTAAGAAAATGATTAAATAGGTCTACCATTTTAAAAATAATTCCGAGCAAAAAATAAATAAACTAAACACACAAGTTTACGCAGAAAATATCTCTATTTATTATGGCAGAATCCCCTACGAATATTTTAATTCTGTAAATGTTCAGTATAAAAAATTCATTGTTTGTAAAATTTAAGATAGATCTATATTACAGAAATATTGATAATTTTCAAACACATCATTCAATTTTTTCCACCTTAAACGGTAAAATAATTATAGAAAATTAGAAATATCACGTAATAGTTTTTTGTTCTCGATAAGCTGTAATTCGGACTAATTCCCTACAGGTAAATCCGTAACGTACCGGCAAACGGTATTTAGCTAGGTTTTCGAAAAGGTCAATTAACCAATCATGTACGGTTTACAGATCACATGCTCCTCCATGTACCGAAAACAGGTCACGTGCTCCTCCATGCCTCAAAAGTTAAACGCGTACCAATACCCTGCGGTCTCCAGACAGCAGGGAATAAAGTAAAAACTTTGTTAACTCTTCAAAGGTATACATTTTGATTTGATTTACAACAAACTTTATCAGAATGTTTTTATAAGTGTTACTTTGGCTAAGCTTGAATATTTGACATCTTAAATTAAAAACTATGTTTCTAATTTTCAACAACGAAAAATCTTGTTGACACTTCAAAAATTTTATTTGATCTTAAAATTTTTTCAGAATGTTCGTCTCCATGATATATTGCTCACGTTAGAATATGGATTAAAAAGTAGTTACGAGGGGTGATCAAAAATTAACCGGACTTTGTAAATGGTTCTTTACCTGTTAAATGAATTTACATAAAAATACACGGAAAATAAATCGGAATCTATTCCCTGAATGATACAAAAATACCAACAAGAAATATTAACAAAGAAAAAAGTTATGCTGTTATTGGCATGTACATGTATAGCAATGCGGCGCACGGTATAACTTTAAAAATGACGTTAACGACGTCACAAGCGTATTGTCCTTAACGGAGCAGCTTTTCACTCAATTACGGAGTAGGCCAATACGTGATACAGTCATGTTGTTGATACGGCTGATCCACTGCCTATATATATTTCTGTACAAGTGGGTATCATTGTATTGTAATAAAATGGATTATAATAAAGATCTCCTGTAAACACGCAAACTTCCGTTCTTTCCTTCTGTAACTTGATTGTTGGGAAAATCGCACATGCAATAAACTATATTATGTATTACAAATAAAGTAAAATAATGTTGGGGAATGATAACGTATCATACATACGATAAAAGAAGAATAATACAACTATGACCAAAACTGTCATTTTTTTTTAAATAAATAAAATGCATAGCCGATTTTGAACAGTGACTGTTAAATTGTTGACACAATTTCTCCATAATGATAACACTACTGCGTAAAATCAGAAAATAATTTGTACAATTGTAAACCAAGAATACAGTATATGTAATAAATGCATTAACTATTATCTTTTTAAAATCCTTAGAGTTGACTGCACCGTCCCGTAGCTACTGTCGAACATCGTTGACAATGTCCGCAGTCAATCGACCGTCATTTTCAACGTCTTGGCGATTGACGTCATCAACGTCTTTGAAATTTCTTTTTTTGTCTCTCCCTTACTTGTTTTCTATTTCTCTATTACCCTTTCTAAATCCTTCATGCTAATAAAAAATATACTGTGGCTTCCTGGAACTTTTCCCTTGATATCCATAATCTTTTTCTACATTTTAAACAGGTTCTCGTCTTAATTTTGACCATTTTTTCTTATTGATCGATTTTCGAGACTTTCAGACGACATAGATTTAACACGAATATTTTTTTAACAAGTGACGTTTGAATTGTGATTGCAAATATAAATATGTTTTAAATGAAGTCATTTTTACTGACAATGTCAAAGATATGGTTCATGACGTTTTGGCGTAGTTTGAAATCTAAATGTGCCATATTGTAAAATATACGCAGCATAAAGCGCCTGTGGTCAAGGCGAATTAACGCACTGCGCAGGGTGTGCGTTACCATGGTTTTTGAATTCGCTGTTACGGACAAGCTATTTGCGTATTCAGATTAGCTATAACATCAGTTTACAGGTATTGTTTTCCGATTAAGTGTGATATATAACAATAAGTGATACGTTGATAATTCTTTAATTGACAGTCACAGTCCGGTTTATTTTTGATCATCCCTCGTATAAAAGTCAGGTGGAAGAAAATCTATACATGTCCCTATTTTATGTTATTGTTTATCAAACTTTTGTCTCCTGTCTCATTTATAGTAATGGCAAGATTATATTTTTGAAACTTGGGTCAAAACAATTCAAACATTCTGGAAGTCACTGTTGAATTTGAATTTTATCTATTTTTGTATGGATGCATTGATGATTTAATAAACTTATTTTTACCGTCAAGTTTAACTGAATTGACTATACATGTATATGCCAGAAGATTGACTGTCATAATGGTGACTGACCAACAGTTGATATTTGAAAATTTTGAAATAATTTTGGCCAAATGTAAACTTACTTTGACTGTCACCTGTTTACTCACTTTCTAAATTAGATGTGCATAGGGTCGTTTTAAGCGATGGGACTTAGGTAAGCTAATAAGAGCAACCATTGCTCTTTTGTTTATTTTCAGTATCAACAAATGGGATAGCAAATTTTATGGAATTAATGACATAGAGGCAGAAGTTGTTGACCCCCAACAGAGACTGGTTTTAGACTGTGTGCATATGGCGTTAGAAGATGGTGGTATCCTAAAAAAGGACATTGATGGCGAAACTATTGGAGTTTACATAGGTTTGTAAAAAGTACTTTTGATTATAAAAAATTTAATCTTTTAATCATAATTATTGTGACTTTCAGATACCTATATAAGAAAGACCAAATAACAATTAGATGGATATTTAAAGAAGTAAATTAAAGATACCGTAATATAACTAAACACTTTTCAAAAATAACCAAATGTGCACTTATCAGCGATAGATCATTGAAATTCCCATGTTTGATTTTAGGAATCAATAAAAATTAAATTGGCTGTATAGAACCTACACATGTTACAAAACAAAAACGACATCAATAACCAAAAGTACATTTATCAACGGCAAATCATGAAAATCATCAATGTATCAAATTTCCATAGATTATCATCATCATAATTATTAAAAGAAAACCACAAAGTCAGTAAAACATGTCCATCCATGTATGTAAAGAATTGTCAGTGAATTATCACAAACGTTTCTTCATTTTGGTCTGTGCCAAAAGAGTACATTATATTTTCAGGCTGCATGACGGACGATTATAAATTTCAAGCAGCAGAAGACAATGCAATTAGTAACACCTACACTGTTACAGGTACACACAACAGCATTATAAGTGCTAGAGTATCGTATGCATACAACCTCACAGGTCCTGCCGTTACTCTTGATACAGCATGCTCGTCTTCTCTTGTTGCTATAGACATTGCATCGCAAGCTTTACAAACAGGTACTATATATATTCTTAATCACAGGTATATATACCATCAGCGAAAATGCTTCGGTCATAATTCGTAAACATCAATACACTAATGTTTTCTTTTTTCTTGTCCATTTAGAGTAAAAAGAATTACAAAATAACCTTAATGATGATATTATCTGTTGTAAATGATTTTTTTGTAAAGAATGGTTAGTTCGTGTAAGCTATACATACGAAATAAGTCTGCAATACTAATACGTTGATACAAATATTTGTAACACTTAAGGTAAGTGCAGTGCAGCCATATGTGGAGGTGTCAATGTTCTACTGGATCCTCATATGTTCATCATCCTATCCAAAGCTAGAATGCTGTCTCCGAGTGGTCAATGTAAAGCTTTTAATGCAGAAGCTGACGGTATGCAAGAGGGGAAGGGTGTGGAATTGTCATCACAAAGACATTGAATAATTTAAATTAAAATATCGTCAATAAAAATTGTATCATTAAATCTGGAAAATATATTGCATGTTTATAAGTTACTGTAGTTGATTAAGAAAACCTTTGTTCTTATTTTTCCCCCATTTTTTTAGAGATTAAATATTGTGTAAATAAAAAAATACGTCGTGTGTTTTAGAGTTTTCACAAATTAAGACAATTTGTTATTAAATACTATTTATTGTTAAACATTGTACTTAAAACATTTCATAGACACTATATTTCTTTGAAAATAGGCGATACAAGACGGAAACAGAATTTGGGGTACGATAAAGACTGGTACGAATCAAGATGGTCACATGACTGTACCTATAACAGCACCATCTGGCTTACAGCAATCAATTTTGATTGATAAACTCTATGAGCAATATCAAGTGGATAAATCTAGGGTACAAGTGATTGAAGCACATGGTAATATAACTTTCACAACAAAAATATTTGAGTGCCGGATTAATAATAGAAAGTTTGATAAAATTTTAAATTAAAATACGTGAACTTGTTAAACAATGTATGAAGACTGTTTAATGATTTAATGAAGTAAATACGTTTTAAGTTTTGAGATAAAAAATGCATAACGCTTGGTTGTGAAAATTATAAAAGCAATTCCCAAGATTTTTCGCGTTACAACAAAAATAAATCGTCGGATAAAGTTTCTCAAACACGAGAAACTAAAAACGTCAGGTTCGTGTCCGTCCTTTTTGGAGTGAGTCATAATCTATTGGCACTCATTACATTTTACTTGTCTATGTTATAAGGGATATTTTGTACATTATCTAAAATGCTAACCATTTATCGAACATTTTCAAACACTTTACAGGTACAGGAACCTCTGTTGGCGATCCAATTGAAGTAGACGCACTGGCTAGGCACTTTGGCAAAACTGCATCAACAGAAGCATACATAGGATCTGTGAAAACTAATATTGGTCATTTGGAAGCTGCAGCAGCAATGGCAGGTATTATTAAAGTGCTACTGATGATGAAACATAGATTGATTGTACCATCTCTTTGGTATACACAAAACGATGAAAATCCAAAACTTAATCTGAGTGACAAAGGTTTTAAAGTTCCTACAGAATGTATCACATGGAAATCATTTGGTTCAGGAAAGCTAACAGCCTGTGTAAACAGCTTTGGATTTGGCGGAACAAACGCCCATGCCGTAATAGAGGAATACTTATACTGTGTTGGTGAAGAAACTGATGTAGAGAATGATGATGCCAAAGTATTGCCTCACATTATTACAATGTCTGCTTATGACAGAACAAGTCTTGTAGATAGTGTAAAAAATGTTTTTGAACATTTAAATGTTCAGAAGTACGATACCTCAGCGGTATCTTGTACATCAACATGTAAACAAGATCACAGACCAATACGCAAAGCTATATTTGGTAAATCTCAAGACGAATTGATATCCGCATGCAAATTATACCTCAACAGTACAACACATGTTTTTTCACCTATAGGTGAAAAGAAAATAGTTTTCGTTTTCTGTGGTGTGGGGACTGCATGGAAAGGCATGTGTAACAGTCTTATGAAAATCGATGTCTTTAGGACAGCTATTAAAGAAGTTGATAGATATCTACATAAAAGGATCAACTGGTCAATATCAGACAAACTAAGAGAATCAAGCGATTTTACCATAGACGCCATGGTTACCCATATTGCAATATTTGCTTGTCAGATTGGATTAGCTGCTATGTGGAAACATTTTGGTCTAGAACCAGATGTTGTACTAGGTCAGTCTGTTGGAGAAGTAGCAGCAGCGCATGTCGCTGGATATTTTGATCTTAAAACTGCTGTACGCATAATTTATTACAGATCGAAGTACCTGTCGAAAGTAAAGGAGGGTACAATGGCTGTTGTTCGTAATGTAGATATCGCTATTATCGAAAAGCTTTGCAAAAGTCATAAAGGAGTCTCAATAGCAGTTAACAACAGTTCATTATCTTGCACCATATCTGGAAAAGCTGAAGATATCGAATTGTTTGTAGAAGAAATAAAGAAGACTGACAGCTTGAATCCTGAAATAATTGACTTAAATGTAGGGTGTGCATATCATAGCACTTACGTGAACCATGCTGCTTCAAAATTTGCCAAGAAACTACATATAGATGTTGTCAATGGAAATTCACCACTTATTTCAACTGTAACAGGAGATGTTGTAGGTGATGAAGTTATTGGGACAGGTGAATACTGGAAACAAAATGTAAGTCAGCCAGTGCTTTTTTCAAAAGCCATCAAAAAAGCAGGTTCTATGTTCCCTCAAAATATATTTGTAGAAATCGGACCATCACCTGTTTTAAGATCACACATAGCCAACATATTGACCAAAAAACCACATTTATTCATGTTTTTTTTCAATGAAGAGAAATGAAGAAATTACTACGTTAGCTAGTACTCTGTGTTTATTGTATGAAAATAATGTAAACTTGAATTGGACCAAAATACATCAATGCAAAAAAGAAGTAACAGATATACCGACGCATAATCTCAGGAAGCACAGGAACCTGTACAAAAGTCAGGATTCTCTTGCAAGAATCCAAGCGTCATATTCTGCAGATACAATGCATCTTTACATACGGCAAATTGGATTTGAAACAACCATGCCTGAATACCAAGCTATATTTGATCTAGAAACAACTGCCTTTATATATGAACACATTGTTTCAGGAGCGCATATTATTCCCGGTGCAACATATGCAGATATTGGATTTGTCATAGGACGAAATATATTTGGTATACCTTGTTATAGCATCGTTGTTTCTCTTGAGTTTCTAAGGCCGATGAAAGTAGAAACGGGAAAAAAATGTATACTTAATGTACATGCAATAAAAGAAGAGGACGGAATTTTATTCCACATCAAAAACCGTCAAAATACCATCTGCAAGGGATGGGTTCGTCCTGCGCTTCCATGTAAGAAAAAGCGTGAAAGAAGAATAGAAATTGATACTTTGAAGCTCGCCATGACGGACACGCTAGACACACATTTAGAATCCAAAGAAATGTATGATTCACTTGAATTAATGGGATTCAAGTACGGAGAGTGTTTTGAAATGATGAAGCATTGTGATACCAATGGAGAAAGCAGTTTCACGGAAATAGAAGTGCCTGATATTGTCATAAAACAAAGTGAATCAACAATTATTCACCCTTGCATTCTTGATGTTATGATACAGTCATCTTTCCATACAATTACGGAAGACAGTATTCAAATGATGAAGACAGAAAGTATAACATGTCTCCCAGTTGCTATTGGAGAAATTAAAGTCTTCAGAAAGCCGGAGAAAACTATGTACATATATACTTGTCGAATAAACACGACGGTTTTAGATACTGTTTTGCAAGTCCATTTCAATGTTCTTTTGACGACAATTGATGGACTTTTGGTAGCAGAGGTCAAAAACTATACAACTTACGGAAGAAGAAACGGCTGTCAAGCACCATGTGAGCTAAGCTATAACCAAGAATGGCACCCATTGAGGGGTTTTCCGCAAATTGAAAGTCGAAGTACAAACATTCTAGCGTTAGCAAACTTATATGATGAAACAACACAAAGCGTTTTTAATGATTGCAAACACGTTTTTCTTTTCCAAAAACAAAAACGCGAGACGGCAACACAATATGTAAAAGACGCATTTGAAATCGGTTCAAAATTTCGAAGCATCCAAGACATAACCGCTGTGTTATTTATTGTAAATGAACCAAACACAGACTCGCATCTTAGCGAGAAAGACTCAAAGAAGATTCATATTCAGGTCAGAGACAACTGTTTTATCATTGGTGTCCTCTTGAAATATATGATGGAACGGAATTTTAATGTTCCAGTATATATTGCCACTCAAAATTCACAGATATGTACTTCCGCTTCGGATAAGCAAACAGTTAGTTCTGGAGCAATATGGGGCTTTGTACGTTCAATAAGTGTAGAGTTCATTTACAACGAGGTAACGCTCGTAGATCTGCAACCATCACTTGTAAAAACAAAAGAAGCATTGCTACAACTTATTCTTGATACATGTCAAGACATGAAAGCTTTGCCACCTGAAATTGTAATTCAACATGGCACAATATATGAGGCCCAATATTTAAAGACGAGGAAAAGTGATATCGTCCCTAATTTGAGAGCAGATACCAACACTGTGGCTAAAGTAAATACTCTTTACAAAGCATGTTCACTAAATTCAGATACGGGAGATCATATGTTCTTTACGGAGCAATCGATCAGTCAAGTTGCAAAGCCGAAAAGAAACATAGCAATTCGAATACAGTCAGTTTATAAACACCCCATGATAATATCTCTAGGAAGGACAAATCGTGTAGCCCCATATCAGGATGTATTGAACGTAGAAAATCCACATATCCTGTGTGGCATTGAGTACACAGGATACATAATAGACAAGACATCCGATTCTAGAGAAACTTGTCTTCTGAATAGGAACAAAGTTGTATGCATATATCCGACACAAATCATGACGGAGGTGTCTGTTCCTAAAGGATGCACCAGAAAGCTAGAAATGTTTCCGCATTATCAGCCTGGAGTACTACTTAACACAATCATCAGCTGGAAATTTGCTGAACATGTTCCAAAACATTCCAATGTCTTAATCTACAGTGCACAAGAATGTAGGATGCTTGCTATGATCCTAAAAAGCGTACTGTCTGATAAACGACGTTCACATGTCAACATAAATCAAAAAGAAAGCAAAGGAGAATCGAAAAATGGTATGGATATTCTTATCATTATTGGGAAAATTGATCCAAATTTTTCTTTTTTAAGAAGATGTAATAAAATATTGTATCTTCAGGGAAGTATTTCGGAACAAGTTCGACAATATTTGACAATACCAAATAAACGGGAGTTCGTTTGTTTGTACCCAGCTGACCTGTTGACAAAAGATAATATCACTATTGCTTTCACAGACATTGTTCCTTGGTTGAAAAGCTATTATAAGGAAGTTAGTCTGAAATCAAAGGCGTCAGA